CTCCAAGTGGCGCTCTGCAGCGCCTTCTCGCTGGGGGGCAGAGGGCTGGTCAGGCCTCCCCAAGGGCCGCAGGGGGCGGGTGGGCACGGAGGGGGCAGATGGCTGAGGGACGGACGGTGGGGAGTAGGGCCAGACCGGCAGACACGAGAGGTGGACAGACAGAGGGACAGCTCAGAGCGATGGGCAGACGGCAGGGCTGAGCGCCACGTGCTTACCTAGGAAGGGCCCCGGGGTCTGGAGCTTCGGGGCTTAGAAGCAGGAAGAGAGGGAGGCAGGTGAGCAGGGCACAAAGGCTGTGGTGCAGGGGGACCCGCAGCGGCCCCCACACCCCCTCTCCGATGGTGGAGGCAGGAGGAGCCAGCATCCTCGGAAGAGGACCCTTGGCCACCTGCCCCACCCCTCATAGAATCGGCAATGACACACGTGCAACACGCATGTGCAGACAGAGCTGGTGGGCATGGCCCAGGCTGGGAGCAGAGGTCAGAAGGCAGGCAATGGGGTGAGGAGAATGGAGACTGAGGGCTCCTGTTGGGAGGGCCCGGACGTCCAAGCGCAAATGTGGGAGCATCACACACACACACACACACGCACACGCACACGCACACACACACACACACACATACACGCACACACGCCCACGCACGCCCACAGATGCTCATGTAGTGAGAGCAGCAGCTGAGGGGTGGATGGTGACCGCCCTCAGCACACATCCCGGAAGGGGTAGCGCCCACTTCCATGCTGGGAAACAGCCCGTGCAGGACACACAGCCCCGCCCGTCCTCCTCCATCGGGGAGGGAAGTCCCGCCTCTGCCTCAGTTGCAGGGAACAGAGAATGGGCACAGAATGTGCGAGTGCGAGTGAGATGGAGGAGCCCAGGTGCTACTTACGCTGGGATCTCATTGGTCAGTTCGCTTGGAAACAAAGAGACAGAGAAGGTGAGAGGCAGGAGGGAGGAGGGGGCAGCGGGCCGGCCGAGCGGGCCTGCCCTCCTGGTCACGGAGCCGAGGGCGGGTGTGGCATGGCCAGCGTCTGGCCCTGCACGGCGTAGACAGGACAGATGGATGGACAGCCGGAGCAGAGGGGGCGTTACCTCTCCGTCACAGCGTTGAGGTACTCGATGTAGGTCCGTCCATCAAAGGCCAGTGCGTCCAGGTCCCCTGCCGACTTCTCTACCAGCCCTGAGGGACAGTCCGGGTGAGGGGGGGCCTCGGGGTCCGACACCTGCAGCCTCAGCCCGGCCGGCGGTGCTCACCCTTCTCGCAGTGGAGCCCCGAGAAGCCCCCGGGGCACAGGCAGGTGTAGGAGGCCTCCTGGGGGAGGCAGGAGGCCCCGTTGAGGCAGGGGTGGCCCGAGGCCTGGGTGCAGGGGTGGTCTGCGAAGGAGGAGACGTCCACCGCCCGCACCACGTGCTCCCGGGTCAGCAGCTGATGGCCTTTCAGGGCGACCTGGGGGGACAGGGGATTGAGCCTTGTCCTGCCCACTGCCTCTGCCCTACAGCCCCCCAGAGGCCCCCCACACACCAGCTGGATGGCGCCATCGAGGCCGGAGGACACAGCGGCGGCCCGGGCCAGCTTGCTGAAGTCGGGGGCTCCCCCCAGGTACAGTGGCTCCTTCAGGTTGAGGACGGTGTGCGGC